TATAAAATAGATTAGAATGTTTATTCAAAACCAACCGACAGAAAGTACCAACCCTTAGCATTTATTTGCATTTATAAAAAGATATAACATATTTCATTCTATTTTTCTCTTATCTGAAGTACATAGTATTACATTTGCATTTCAAAAAGTGCATCTTGCCCAGATTAATTCAGGCAATACATCAAAAGAACAAGCAAAAGAATGGCTGAACTGAACAGACCTAGAGTTAGAATCTAGTTTTGTAGAGAAGTGATTGGCTGTTATATGATATAATATATCACATTCTTGCCATACCCATTGGTACAAATGAGTTGGGGCTGAGATAACAGTTTAGCAAGATTACCTGTGCTTCCAATTAATGGTGTTTGTATAGGTAGGCTTTACAGACAGTATCTCTGAAGGAAAAAAAAAAAGACTAAAATACAGCAGAAAATTCAGTTATTTTTCTTGATAATCAGATCTAGCAGCAAACCTAGCAATTTGGTGTTGAGACAAAAATACAACCTCCTATTTCAAGCAATCAGTGTCTCAACTTGTATAGCCCTTAAGCATTGGCAGTCCTGTATTTTCTTTGCCAGCCAGATTGCTACACCTGAAAGCAAAGACCTGTCATGGTCCATCTTATCAATCAAGATGCTCTAATAGAATGAGGCATTGGTAGTGGCCCAAGAGCACTCAGTACCTGTGACTTATATCCATGTTTACTTTAGGACTGGATAAGCCACGTGAGAATATCTTATCCACTTTCCCTACATTATAGCAAGAGTATAAATAAGGGGAATATAATTGGAACCTTAGAATGGAGGCTTCGTATCTTTCCTTGCCCTCCCGAATCTGCTGGGTTTTCACTCTCTGAAAATCTTCACTGCTTTTAGAAAGCAGGTTTCTCAGCAGAGGATAAAATAGGTTCTGTGATTTGAGCAATCTTTTATTTACTATCTGCTTGACCTTTCCAATATGAGACACTCTCTAAATTATTTATAAAGTCAATAATATAATATAATTTTTAAAAGAGTAAAGAAACACCTCCGGTAAGGTGATAAGTGGCCAAACAAGTAGATATTAATTGCTTTTAAACAGGGCTGTCTGGTTGGTGAATGAATGAAGGCATTGCAGAATGACTATGTCCAAAGCAACCTTCCTATTCCAATATAGCTAGAGGGTACCAGACTGCGAAAGACAGGCTGTAGGAAAAAGAGGACACAACATAGAAAAAAATCCATTACTCTCCAACAATCAATTGAATAACTTCCAAAGGTGAGTACAAGTGGTTAAACCATTCAGAGGAGGGTGTTCTTCCTACTCCAAGATGATTTGTTTGGGGGAACTGGGAAGAGAAATCTTCCCCTCCCATTTATTCATCAATGTGGAATCTCTTAGAGAGTATTAAATATTATTCCCAGGTTTCTTGCCACTTGAATGGAGTTGCCTTTTAAGACATAAACTACCAGCAGACTCCCTTACTACCTATTAGTTGTTTATGCTTAGCATTTAATTCAGTAGTCTCCCAGGTGCCTGACAATTTCAGATTGCTATCTTCCACAACTGCAGGGCAATGCGATCTCCGCAAAAACTATATTTGCTTTAAGTTGCCCAAAGGTACTAAAGGAGCACTCCTGCATTATCCAAAACACTTTTGCTCCTTCAAGTATGAAGTACTACATAGTGCTAATATATTAGAAATATTAATATCCTGCAAATCCAGTGAGCTTACCATGTTTTTATGCCTGTGAGTCACTGTTAACTCCTGGTAAATGTCTGGCAAAACTTTATTGGCAAGACTTCAGAAGTGGTTTTGCCATTGATTGCTTCCCAGGACTGACAAAAAAGAAGTTGCCCAAGGCCACTGAGCTTGGCTTCGTGTCTCCTTGTTTCTATCCTGATGTCTTACCACTACACTAAACTGGCTCGAGTTTACTATAAGCAGAATCTTTACTATAAATAAATCTGGATTTCACCCATTACTTTTATTTATGTTATAATTATATCAATTTGAAATACATAGTGGGCCTGTTCTTACCTCATTGGGAGATTGGTTTAATGAAGAGAGTTGTGTATTGATCTATACAGTAGATCAGGGGTGTCAAACTGGGGGCCCATGGGCTGGATGCATCGCATGCAGGCCACACCCACCCCAGCTCTGCAAAGGGGGAAAACCAGAGGTGGTATTCAGCAGGTTCTGACCGTTTCTGGAGAACCGGAAGTGGAAATTTTAAGTAGTTCAGAGAACCGGCAAATACCACCTCTGACTGGCCCCACCCCCATCTATTCCTTCCTCCCAAGTCCCAGCTGATCGGCTGGGTCTTCTTTTGTTGGTCTGCCCAGGATAACAGAGCTGGAAAGCAGGTTAGTGGGGTGGGATGGGAATGGAGTTTTTACAGTATCCTTCCCCTGCCACACCCACCAAGCCACACCCACCAAGCCACACCACGCCCACCAAGCCGCACCACAGAACCAGTAGTAAAACTTTTTGTATCCCACCACTGTGGAAAACATCACGAAACGTCACGTGATGGCAGCATGATACCACAAATTTGAAACCCATGGACTGGATGATTAATCCAATAGAAGTTGCATAGAATAATTCATAATTTATTAGTTCATTCCCTGAATGCACCTTGAAAGTTAGGTTAGATTTGGTGTAACTAATCTTGATTTACTTCAATACAACCATACAAAAGCATAGTTGTATACATATAGATTTGGCATGACTTTCCCTGGATTAGGGGAAATGCAGAGAAATTACATGCCCCAATTTGGGGTGATCTGATGGCTGCCATTGTCTTTGAAAATGAAATGGCCTACTGGTTGTCAGTTTACTATTTGTGGAAGGGGTTAGGAAGTCTGAGTTTTCTAAAATGTTGAAACTATCCACATTCTTCACTCTACTTCCCACTGCAACTTCTTTTTAGAAATAGAATTCCTTTTCTTTCCTACCCAAACTCTCATCATATGACTCCACAGCTGCTGCTTCGAAAGGAGCAATATTAAGTCATTAGAAAGCACAGCTGGGCATTACACTGGGGCCATTTATATGAAAAGAGGATCTTGCTTTAATTAATCTCCTGCTGTTGTACCTGCCAGATCTGAAGTCAAGTGCCAGTGGGTGGATGGGTCACTGGGAAATTTATGCTTTCAGGTGCAGAATAAGAAGCCTCTTATTTCATTATTATCCTACCAGAGCTGTGAGGAATCACTCCTGTTATATTAAAAAGTCATTTCTTACAGAAAAGAAACATTGGCGATGAATGGGATTTGAAAACTGTACACAATTACCTTTTGTAATCTGTGTTCCAGCAGAGCGATTGGTTCAATGGCATGAATTGAGACCACCCCTGTTTCTAGAGTTAATGTTAAGGAAAAAAATGGGAAAGAAGTAACATAAAAAAAAACCCTACTGCCCTGACATGTTTGGTGGAAACAAGGCCTCTTGTTCTCACAAATTTCCCCTTGTTTTATTGGAGGGGTGGGGGCGGGGGGAGCATTATCTTATTAGCAATTTCTGCAAGATTGTCATTTGACTTTTAAAATGCTTTATAAAATAAAATATTTGTCTTTAGTCCTTTCTTTATTCTTGTTTTTTAAAGCTTCTCCCAGTTTATGAATATGTTGATAATAAGCAACAAAAGTGCTGGTGCTAAGCTGAGGTAATGGAGAACTTTAAAGTTGACTAAATGGGTTATCAGTCCCAGATATATCTGACAAAGATGGAAAGTTTAGCTTCCAGGTGTGACATTTCTCACACATCATATCCTCAAATTTTCAGTTTCTGAGTATAGAAAAAGCTATGCTTTTCGAGAAAGACGGTATGTTTAGCAAACTTATAGGAACTGAAGAATCTAGGAATTGAAACAAACCAAATTTAGTTACACAAATAGAATCTTTCCTTCTGGAATGGTTATTATATTTACTTCATTTCTTACTTTAGAAACACACCACATGTTTTATTAATGTATGCTGTTTCTGCTTCATTTCTAATAATTGAACTGGGTTATCTTGGAAGAGTTCATTGACATCTGAACTGTGATGACTTTTCAATTAAGAAAGTCTTTGATCATCTTTTTACCTTTGCATGTTATGATTTAGTTGTAATGAATGTGGAGATTCAAACCTTAACTTTTCATACAGATCATATGTTTGGAAAACTATCAGACATCTCTGTTTAATATTTAATTAATCTTTAAATTATGATTAGTCACACAGCTGAAAAAGATCTCTGGCAGAGATTTATTAATTAGTGAAGACATTTTTGTTAATACAATTCTCTCCAGATGTGTTAAATGCCAGATTTTTCAATTAATATGGCCAACTGGAGGACCAGTTGTCTTAACATATTTGGAAAGTGGCATCCACAAGAGGTCAAAAAACACCAAGATGGTACGGATGCAACTGTAAAATCAAAGCTTGCACCTGAAGAAGAGGTGGGCTTCAATCATATATAAATGTAAGTACAGATCTACGCAGTTCCTACCCTGATGTTCTAGAAGTGTTTAAAATTGCCTTCTTTCTTTGGTCTTGGGATATGGTGCTTGATGACCCATGTTAACGGTGGGGTTTTGTTTTTTCTTTTGTTATGTGGGATGATGCTGTTTGAACACTTCAAATTTTCTCTTTATTGATTTTATGGATGGATTTCAACTGTGGGCCACTTAGAATCATTCTGGAATCTGGATAATGATGATGATGACACCATCTTGACTGATTTGATCTGTCCTACACATGCCCTTACCTCTGGGGCAGCAAGTTAGGGAAGGTTGAAATAATCAATACAATATTATACAGATCAATGATCCGACTCGTAAGTTCCAATGCTATGGAATTGGAATTAAAATTCCTATATTTAGATCAATCCAATCAATCATAAAATGCTGTTAAAAATCACATGGGACATTAACTTAAATTACCTTTAAAAAAGGACAGTTGCAAATGTGATACATACGTTATTGAGTATAATATACCTCAAATAAGAAAAAACAATTATTTTTTATTGTTTAATAATGAATGTTACAAAAAATTACAACTTTTTTCATGTCACTCTAAAGGCAAACAAAATGCTGTTATCTTTGCTTTATATTCTTGAATGCTACCATAGTGTGACTTTATATTTCAAAACAATGATATTTTTAAAGCATTCTTGATTCGATAAAATTGTACTGTTCTGCTTTTTGGAGACCTATAGTATTTATTACACCTTGCTTTAGAAAACAATTGTTTTTCGTGACTGCTAATTTGGGTGGAAAAATATTAATTAACTTTTGTTTGAAAATGTCTGCATTGGAAGAAAACTTATCAAAAGAAGGAAAGCACTTCCTTGAAATTGAATGAACTGGAACTCATGATAATGCACATGCTTAGAGATATCCCTGGGGAAGGGAAAGAACCCATTTTATAAACACAACCTTGTTATTGTTGTAAGTAGAATTTAAAGTGAAATAAAAGTGCTAGGCATCAACTTGTATAAATTCCAAAGCCTGCGACTGAAAAAGTAAACTGATACATACGGCCTATCTATAGGAAATGTAATCTCTTTCTTTTCAGAATAACAGCCTTCATTAGTTGCATTCACAAGCAGCTTTTCTTCTGAATGGGGAGGAAAAATGTTCCACCTGCTTAAGACTGCAGGATGAAGTGGGTTTTTGTTTTGTTTTTTTGCAAGATGGTCCTGTCTTACAATACTTCTTACAGTGTTGACTTTCCACTAACACATGCTCTGTAAAGGTCCAGGTACAGTTCTTCCTCTTGGTGGTTGAAAAATATATCAAAGGCTTTCAAAGGATTATTCCAAGTTCTCTAAAGGTAAAAAAAAGAGGAGTCATAAATACATTCAGTTCAATTTTTTTTCTTGTTAGCTGATGAAAGGCTTAATGCGAATTGCAATCTAATCCAAAAATAGCAATAACACATTCCTCTATTCCTGTCTAAGATGGCAAGAACTGTCTTGTTTTGACAGAAGAATACTATCTTCAAATAAATAGGTGCAAGTAGGTGTGTTATTTTATACACGGGACACTTCTAGACAATTGGTCTTCTGTTTTCTCAAGATGGTAAAATAGGAGGCAAAGTGGACATATCGTGTCCAGTAATAACACTAACTAACACTTCAAGGATACAACAGCATACCATTCCTGAAGTAACATTTACTTCCTTGAAACAACATTTTCTCGTCCATGGATATAATCGCGCTAGGGCAGGAATGTAATAAAAATAGCTTATATTTGCAAACTTCTGTTTGTGACCAACAGGTAAACAGAAATTCATCTCCACAAGTATCAGGCTCACACTTTCATCTGGAAAGCATCTTAGAAGGAATTAAAACTGCATAAATGTAATGTCATAATAGATCTCATACCATCATAATGGCATAACGCTTCACACATCTCAAATAAGGGTAGTGAAAAAATAAGATATGGCAGAAATAATAAAATAAGAATGTCACTTGCCCCAACCCAAGCTACAGAACTGGGCTGGCCTTGAATTGGTGTCGTTTTGGTGATAGGCCGTGTATATTGACATAGCTGCATGCTCACCATTATTGTCATAATCCAGAAAGCTAGATTTCATAAAAACATTAATGGTACAAGTTATGATGCCGCCACCACTACATTTTTGTTGATGCTAATTATTGTCTGTTGTGGGGCACTAGTGTTCTTTTATTTAGTAGTGCAAGGGGACTGAAAGGAACAGGCAAGTAGTAGTCTTATTACTCCTTATTGTTGTTATTAGTTTGAAGTCCTACTTATCCTAATAGAAAGACATGAAAGCAGAGGAAACACCTTATCAAAGTCTTGTAGCTGTTTATGGAGATGCAGTAGGACATAAACTTAGTTTTAACAACTAAAACCAGCATGTGGCTAAAAATATAATGTCATGGTTGAAAGATTGTGGAATTCTATTTCTATGTCTATGACAGGTTTATTCACTAACAAGATTCTTTAAAACAAAATAATGTCTTTATCATCTAAATTTCATTAATAGAGTTCATACCTGGTTGGAATTCAGTCAGCCTGGTTTCTTTATAGAAATCCTAATATATGAGGTGGTAGCCATGTTAAAAGATGATTAATGAGGTCACTGCACAGCAATCTTTCTTTTATATATTGTTTATAAGCTCTGGCCATGTATGCAAAGTTTCCAGGTTTACATAAAAAGTAATTCATTGATATATACCTACTTCATTCCATGAATGGAAGAAAATAAATATCATATTCTGGCATTTTAGGATTATACTAGGGAAGTCTAAAGTATTGGTACTATAGTATCATGGTTTGTAATAATAATTTCTGTTATTTTTTCAAGTTTTGAAATATTTTTACTATAAATGTGGCAGATCATAGATTCTATGATTTTTAACTGTATCTCTTTTAACACTATGTAAAAGGAGCATTATGTAAGGTATCTATATTCCCAAAGATCACATGCAGAATAATTGAATTGAATCACAAAATAGCATTTTCTGACTGAAATACAACTATATTTACCCTCGATTTCAGCATTATAGTGATTACAATTTATAAGTCTACTGCTATATTTGAAGATGGTTCCACATATTTTTTACACAGAGCAGGAGACCTACAATAAGGCATAAAACATCTTCAATTAGAACATTTTCTTGAAAGTCTTATTTTTGCTTTCACAGAAAATAAGCAGGCTTGGGATAAAATCCCTCTTTCTTCTGACTTTATTAAACTGAGCTTTGGGGTTGACAACCATAAATTAACTAGTCCTGTTGACAAAAAGTAAATGAATTTAACTCATACCTTTACTTACTTATAATCAAGTCACCATAATTAACAAAGAAAAGAGTTGCCATTGTGTTTTATTAATAATGAAAATGTAGCAGTTTTAAGGGGTGTTTTTTTGACATATTTCAATTAGTGTTATCTACAGTATTTTAGTTTTTATTTTTTAATTAGGATTGAGGGATTTTAAAAATACTAGTTCCGTTATCTGCACTATGATTATATATCCTCTGATAGTCTTTCTTTCTGAAGCATCTCTGAAAAACTGAGAAGTATTTTGCTCTAATTCCAGATCATCATCAACTCTTCAGAGTCCCACACCCACCCCGCTTTTTTTCTCTCTTTAGAATACCTGTGGTGCAGGACTGGCTACTTCTTATATTTGTCAGAGACATCAGATGCTTAGAGCAAACTATAATGCTCAGATATAATTAATATGATCTAATTTTAAGCGTGTTTATCATCTTTCACATAAAGAATGCTAAAAATGAGAAAAGACAGAACTAGAAGATCAAGACCACTTCACCAAGGAGATCACAGTATTATCTAGGCATAAAGGTGTTTAGTAGTTGGGACATCTATATCCAAACAACCCCTCTCTACTCACCTAATGAATCTATTGTATAGAGTCTCCCAACCTACTTGCCCAGACTGAAGAAGCTATTTAGATAAGCACCAAAATATTTCAAACCAACAAGAAAAGTCCAGTTACTATGCCTCAGCTTCCAGTCAGCTATATATAGTTCAACTAGAAAACTTCTACAGGAGGTCCCATCAGGTTAGAAATAGGGTTATTCCTTAGCTGATTTTGGGCACTTCTACGTGTTCACTGGGACCATCCCTCAATCCCTCCAAAGTGGCTCAAAGCGAACTTTTTTTATAGCATCAAAATACCAAGAACATGCAGCACTTAAGAGCTATTCAGCATTCACCTCTTATTGCAATGAACAACACTACAAAAAAAGTACAATCCAAGTGATATCCTGCCCTCTGGGCTACTTCTGATCCTCCTTTTCACACACACCCATTATACAAAAAAAGAAAATACATTTCTAGCATCTCCCTCCTTGTTTCTATGTATGTATTTTGAATTGCTTGGGCAAAATATGTTTCAGTAATTACAATGAGGAAAACTTGCAAATTTGACTTTCTTCTGCATTTAAAAGTCTCTTGCAAGCTATAAAGAGGAAACAAGAGCATCCTTGGAACTTTCTTAGCAGCCGCTATGGGAACCTAAGAGGAGATGAGGGGGAAATACATTTTAAACAATAGGCCCAGATAGACAATACGAACAAGAGGCTGGAACTCAGTTACCAGGATGCCAGCTAACTGGGGATGCCAGTGAGTTTCAGGTCTAAACAAAGAGCAACATAGCTCTCCCAAACTGTTGCTTTCTGGATATGCTGAAAATCAAGAAGTTGGAATCCAGTATATCCCAAAAGTATTGGATTGGACAAAGTTGACCTAGCCCTCTAAAGGAAAACCTGCATCAATCAAGTGGGGAAACTGATCTGTTCCCATTATTTCCTTTTTTATAAGGAATGTTTTAAGCAGCTGGTAGAGAATAGTGGCTCAAGAGCAATATCTCATGCCAGTCCTAAGCTTTAATTTATAAATAAAAAAAAGATTCTTGGTACCAGACTAAAAGTGATCATCAGTACATTATCATCATCTCAAAACATACAGAAAGTACATGTCTAGTCTTCTGATTAACTTTTTTATATAGACATAAAAATAGTCTATCAGGTTCTGATGAATGCTGGTGGAAATACAATAAATACTTTGATTCGGTATTAGAGTTTTCTCATTACACATTATGAATCTGTGTGCACATACATGTTTAAATACATAAAAATGCAAGAGAAGAAACTGCCTTAGTGCTGATGTAACTCTACATATCAGTTCTCAGATGCAATTTGTACCATTTTATTGAGAAATTTCTAATTTCTTGAATGTATTGAATAAGCAGAACCATTTACAGCATTCTGCAAACTGCACAAAACAGCAACTGTGAATTAATAAATTGTGTGTGTGTGTGTACATGTATTTTGCATTTTGTGGCAAAACATAATTTTGTCATGGCCCGGTCGGAGCTTGACTCCATGCAGGAGGATGAACTATAGCTGGGGAGGAGGAGGAGGCCTCATTGGCTTTGGAGGAATGCAGGGAGGAGCAGGAGGAAGCAGCCCCAGGTTCCTTGGGCTTGGGACAGCTTGCCAGCAGGGAAGAATGGAGGCAGGACAACTGAGAGAGGGGGGAAGAGAGGACAGGCAATGGAGATGAGGAGCGATGGAGCTCAGGTGATGAGCAAGGACCACCCCTCCTGATCCCCAAGCATGGAGAGTGGAGAGGAGGCGGGAACAGCACAGGCTTATCTGATGACTCGGGAGGAGAGTGCCCAGCCCCTCTTCACAAGGCACACCTGGGAACTGAGACTTAAGGAGATGCTGTGGGGAGGGGCACTTGTTGGGAACAAGCACTGAATTTATGGAGTTTTGTGTGCCATTGCCGACATCTGGAGTTTGCTGGACTTCTTGCCTTATAATTGCCTTGTTCCTTTGCTTTGTTGGACTCATTGCCTTGCTCCCCTGCCCTGCTAGACCTCTTGCCTTGAAGCCATTGTACAAACAGTGTTTTGCTGTACTACTTGGAGCCAGAGGCCGCTGGAGGTCTGCATGTGAGCACTTTGCTTCAGGGCTGCCATAAACGTAGGAGCGTTTGGGGAAAAGTTGGAGCAATAAAGGAGAATTTGAACTATCAGTTGACTGTGTTGCCTCTGTGCCTTGTCCCAGGTCATCACAAATTCTTACAATTCTTTCCCAATTTCTATTGATACTATAGCAGTTTTATTCAAGTATATGTTCTATACTTTCTTAGACAAACACACAAAAATCAAACCTGCTTTGGAATCAGGCTGCTATTCAAGTTGGCAACAATTATTCACAGGGCTTCCGGGCGTTTCTTATATCACTGTTTTCTAAACAGCGGTCCATTTTTGTATCAATGATGACTATTTTTTTCTAGTTGTGCTGCCTTGTGTTTATCTATATTAAATCTTATTTCATTTACTTCCATCCATCTAATTCAAATTTTGTTCTTAGCAACCACTCTTAAGACCAAAGAAAATGTATCATGGAACTGTGTTGCTTTTGGGATATGTTACTGGGAGGAAAGCTAACAACTTATCAGACTGTTTTGCTTTTTTAAAAAAAACACTCAGAAGGTCAATTCTGTTCCACCTGAATTTGCCACTTCCTGTAATGATCACACACACATATCTTTCCATCTCCCTCACATGGTTTCCTGGAGCCTGTCCATTATCATCATCATGAAATTTCCTTAATTATCTGAATTTGTACTCCAAATTGTCAACTACTAGCAGTTCTTGGATCAATTTTATTTTTTTATAACACCAAAGATGAAATACTTTTTGTTACAGTGGCCAGCATAATTAATTTGACAGAGAAGAAGAGGGGGGGGGGAAAGAGGGGGGAGGGGGGAGAGAGATTTGCAAAAACTGAAATTCAGTATTGGTAGCAAGCAATGAGGAAAATGGAACATAGAAATCTCATATTTAAAAGAAAACAGGCATATGGACAGCGGGGAAGCTTTGCCATGATTCTTTGGGATAGGAAGACATTCAGCTCTCAAGAAAGTAGCAGTCATGTGAGCCTTTTTGTTTCAAAGCATTATTTAAAAAAAAGATTAACAGGTAGTGATGAATGTTGCCTTGGAAGACATTACAAGGTGCACAATGTTAAAATACGTTACTTTTAAATGCTTAAAAATGAATCTAGCTATTTTAATATTAAAATTCTTTTCTCCCAGTAGCCTTCCACATCTTAGGGTGACTTATACCTGGGTTTTCCCAGTTTACTCCAACACTTAACCACAACACCACAGTGACTGTCACAGTCATACGCAGCTCCATTTTCTCAGCCTAGCCGATTGCTGTCAAAGCAATAGACCAACTGAACAAACCAACTTAGGCACTGATTAATGTATTGTTCAAGAATTGACACCTGCTTGTAGCTGCTAAAAGCCAGTTCAAACAAAAAGATATGACAGTATTTTCAAGATATAGCAAAGCTTTAAGAAATGGAGATGTTAGTGTGCCTAAACCTTGTGGAATTGCCACCAAAATATGAATATTTATTTATTTATTTTTATTTTATTGTATTTGTCAATTGCTTACAAGATAATAGGTATAAGTAAAAACATAGTTATGAATGCACAGACACATATAAGAAAAATAAAAAAATCTAAAAAAATCTAAAAGAAACAATAGTATATGACAGCACAGGTGATTCAGTCAAAGAGCATGGCTGACTTTAAATGCAGGTATAAGTCCTTGACTTATAACCATAATTGGAACTGGAATTCCCATCACAAAGTGATACAGTCCTGAAGTGAGTCATCCTGGGATAGTGCCTGATTTTTATGAGCTTTTTTGCCATGGTCAATAAGCAAATCCAGGTTTCCCTATTGGCTTTACTTATCGGAAGCTAGCTGGGAAGGCTGCAAATGTGATAATATGAGATGATGTTGCAGCCATCCTGGATACATACCAATTGTCAAGAACCTGAACCATAATTGGAGACCACGGAGACACTGTGATGGTCATAAATGATGTGACAACCAACTATAAGTCTCTTTTTCAGTGCTGTTGTAAGCAAATAATCGGTAAACAAATGGTCATAAATCAAAGACTATCTCTAGATCTCATTTATTGACTGCCTTATTTAGGGACCATTTGAAGTTACAACAGTGATGAAAAAGTAATTTTATGTCCATTCTCACGTTTACAACTTTTTAGGTCTACAAAGCAAAGGAAACCTGAAGTCAGATCATAAGCATAGTCACTGTTTCCAACCGCTTCACAGTGACTTAGTTGTTGATCCCAATCGTGCTTAACTCAGGGGCTTTCATCTTTCATCATCACTTTGTCGTCACATGACTTATCATGATTATTCCCCCTTTGCTAAAATGGGGGTGGGCGTAGCCAGCGGGTGATGCATCTGGCCTGAGGACCGTGAGTTTGACACCCCTGTGCTAGCTAAAGGTCCATTTCTTGTCTGTAAGGTCCATTTCTTATTTATTCTGGAAGCACAGAAGATTCTGGAGAACTAATTCTCATGCTGCTAGAATAAAAACTCAAACCAGTATGATCTTGCAAGTACCTTCAGTATTTACTTTACTCATTGAAATGTTTGGTTCCAAAAAGGAAATTGTCTGTTAGAGATAAAGCTTAAAATGCAGTATTTTCAGATTTTTCAAGATGGCTTTGTTCATATGATGTCTGACAGTTTGGGTGTCTGGGTGTATCTTTTTATTTGGAGTTCTTTTTCCTGGCCTGCACTGACATGAAATTAATGAAATACAATATCAGGATTTTTTAAAAGGAAATAATAACTTTAACCACCCCCTCCATATATTCAGTCCAGAGCATTGTAGTCAGGAAGAGCAGAGTGAGAGTGGATCACTGATGAAAGAAATAGCTTCAAGTGTCAGACCTCTAAGATGCAACATAATGTATTGAATCAAGACATATGAATCACAGCCTGTCACTTGCTGGAGAGTTTACAAAGAAAAAAGGAGGCATCTGTCAAGTTGTCAGAAGTAATTAAAAAAAGACATTATTGATTCTGATATGACTCTCCAATTCAATTTCAACATGCCAAACAACCAGTTCCTATTCCATAGATAAACTGTGTTCCCTTTTACTCAGTTGTAACTATGTCTCTTTAAAATGTGTGATAAGTAAAGATAATACATACAACCAGTGGTGGGATTCAAAAAGTTTTACTAGTGATTCTGTGGCATGGCTTGGTGGACGTGGTGTGGTTTGGTGGGCGTGGCTTGGTGGGCATGGCTTGGTGGGCTTGGAAGGGAAGGATACTGTAAAATCTCCATTCCCACACCACACCACTAACCTGCTTTCCAGCTCTGTTCTCCTGTGCAGACCAACAAAAGAAGAGCCAGCCGATTAGCTTGGACTCCAGAGGCAGGAATAGATGGGGGCAGGGCCAGTCAGAGGTGGCATTTGCTAGTTCTCCGAACTACTCAAACTTTCCGCTACCAGTTCTCCAGAACTGGTCAGAACCTGCTGGATACCACCTCTGCATACAACATACTTTCTCCTTTCAACCTCCTATTCAATAGTCAGCAGCTCATGCTTGCATATTTTTTCCTGGCAGAAACAGTGGAAAATAATTAGCTGAAGATATAATCTGGAAGGTTTGTTGAAAATAGATGAAAAAATATCAAGCTTCATTTTCTTTGTTTTTCAGTTGTTACTTTAATAATCCCTCCTTCTGTTGCTTGTTCTAACAAACACAAGGAAGAAAAGTAATGGAACAAAAGATACCACCATCTCAATATCAGTAAGCTATTAATGTTCACTTTTTTTCTTAAAATACTGGAGGTGTCAAAGTTTGATCCAGCTTTGCTTCAGTATATTATGTTGTGTACCTCTCCACTGACTTGCCATGAGCTAATTTGGATTTATAAATGTTTCTCATCCTTCTAACAGTTAAATTATTGAAAGAGGAACAGGTAAAGGCATTGCTGTTGTCTGTTCATCTATTTAACATCATTTTCTAAAGATTTGGTGAAAATATTTGTTAATCAAATACAATTAATTGATTAATCATCAATTGAAATATATTTTGTCATCTGACTTGAAAAGTCTCAAGTAAATTAAAAATGTTCAGAAATAGTATATTCATGTTTAAGTCAGTAAAATAAAATTCCATTCCTTTTTCATTCACAAAATATGTACCCGATTTTTAGTAGCTTCCCCCTGCTCCCCACATCCTTCCCCACCCCAATTCAGCCATACGCTGCCACATCCTATTTGGAAGTTTATCACCCAAGCAAAGCTTTTAAGCAAACCTTGTAATGACCTTCCTGGACTGCTACAGATAGGTAGGAATGTCACCTTCTACCAAATTCCCCTTGAAAAATAAAGACCTTATTGAAATGAAAAGGCAAGAGGTTAAAATGAAGCAGGATGGAAAATTGGTGCAAGCAATCAAAGAGAAAAATCCCACCTATTTTTGAGCAACTTGGTTGTCAATGCAAATCAATTCCAGGATGCAAATTATAATCCCGCCAGCGAAATGGGTCAAGCATTTTAGTAATTTTAGTGCTGCCTCAAGCAAGATTGGTCCCTTGAAACTACCTAAATTCTCTGATCCCTAGTTTCAATCTGGGAAAGCTCCAGATCTATAGACTGATTGAGAAATAATAACCTTCTGTAGGAGGTTTGATTCCTGTCAATTTGTAAAAACATGTATACTGATTTTTGTTCCCTAAGGATTTTATTAAAAAAAAAAAGTGAAATAAATCCCAGATTTATAAAACCTAGGCTTCCAGTATGGAGAAAACAATTCACAGCATAGCATTGATAGAGAATATCTCCTCCCTAGTACCCTTAATATACTGAAGTTTGGGCTGGCAAAGAGGCAGTGGCAGCAGGTTGTTCAGGCTGGCAAAGAGGTGAAGGAAGGCTCACCAGGCAGGCAGGGAGCTGGGCTGTGTGGGAGGCCCAGGCAAAGGCAGGCATGTAGGCTGGGCTGTGGGGGCCATGGGGGCTGTGTGGTCGAGGCAAGCAAACTAGCAAGTGAGTGAGCCAGAGAACAGCAGCAGCTATGCTGTGGCCAAGGTGGGCGAGGCGAGATAAGGAGTGGCTGGGACTTCTGGGAGGGGTCGGGTGGGGTGGGCCCAGCCAGTGGTGAGAGTAGCTGGTTCACTGAACTGCAGAAAAAGTTAACATCTGGTTCGCCTGAACCCATGTGGACTGGCTTAATCCCACCTCTGCATTTAATCAATATGCAACGTGTTTCCTTTACATTCCATGCACTTCCCCACCCAACTTTTTAGGAAGACCACAGAATAGCAGTGTATGAGGGAGTGAATATACCTGGATCAGCCTAAAAGAACTAGTAAGTATCTCATTGAGCCCACATGTAGTAATGGTTTGTATACCTCTTGCAGCTGCCATTGGATGGTGTTGGCTTAACGAGAGAAAAGCCTTCTGTAATGTATGTTTATCTCATTCATAGGCTGGGATGAGATAAAAATAATACCATATGGACATGGCAGCTTAAAAAAATTCGTATTGCTCGCAAGTGGGGAAAAGATTGTGTGTGTGTGTGTGTGTTTCTATGAAACCCAGCTAACTCTGGGACCATAAATGTTATGTCCGTGGAACTGGTGGGGGTTCCCAACCAGGTCTGCTGTTTGAGCGGGAGCACCAGCCGCTCCCATTGGTTGGCTCCGTTTGACAGTCGGCTATATAAGCCGGCTGTCGGGCAGAGCCAGCCTGTTGTCGCCCGCTAGTCTGCAAGTTAGCAAGCAGATGCGACAACCCTTTATTCCCCGCAATAAAGCCTTGTTAGTTGTATGCTCTGGTCTCATGCCTCTTCCTTACCATCGCTCTACAACACTGGCGACGAAGGTGGGATGGTTGAAGGCTAGCCAGACGCGTCTATTCAAAGAGCTGTAAATCACTGAGAAGTGAAGTCACGAGCGCTGTAGCCGCAGCCGCGCAACGCTCACAAAGAGCGCGAAATTCAAACCACCATTACTCGAGCCGCAGTCACTGAAACGAGCCACCGGCACCATAGCCGCGGCCGCCAACGCTCACCAAGAGCGCAAAATTCAAAAAGAGCTACGTAACCCAGAGAGACAGTCACAGCCTGCGCTCTTTTAAGAGCGCGATTTCAAAGACGATTGAAGAAGACGAACCCGACACTTCCCACGATGAATGCTAATCCACCATTCCCACCATTCAAGCCAAACGAGGAAACGTGGGACTCCTACAAGAATCGCTTCAGCCATTTCCTCGATGCCATCGGGTTAGCTGACGCTGCGGAACATAGAAAGAAGTCTTATTTCCTCAGCTATTGTGGGGCCACCGTTTTTGACACCGCTACAGCATTAGTCGCACCACGCGCCATCAGAAGCGTCCCATGGGACGAGTTACAAGAAATACTCTCCAATCACTACGCGCCAAAACCATCCCAGATCGCTAGAAGGTACGCCTTCAGAATCAGGAAGCAGGCAGTGGGGGAGTCGATCAACGAATACATGGCTGCCCTGAGGACAGCTGCCTTACAGTGCGGTTTCAAAGAATATCTGGAAGACATGCTGCTGGACCAGATCGTCTGTGGGGTTAGAGACCTGAGACTCCAAAGACGTTTGCTGGCAAAAAAGGACTTGAATCTGGCCCTAGCCATGGAGGAAGCCCTGGCTGCTGAGCTCTCTGCCCAGTCAGCAGCTGAGATTCAGGGCACTCCATTAAAGCCCAGCAGCCCAACCGTCCATTCTGAAGAAGTGCTCAGTGAAGAAGACCCCACAGACTCGTCAGACATCAACCGCCTTAAGCATCAGAAGCCTTCACAGGTAGGAGCGGGACAGACAAACAACTTCAAACAACCGCCCTTGTGCCTAACCTGCGGAGGCTCCCACTCTAGGGCATCCTGCAGGTTTAGAAACGCCATCTGCCTGAACTGCCAAAAGAAGGGTCACCTCTCTAGAGTATGCCAAGCAGGGCACTCCTTGCCTCAAAGACCTCCACCACCTTCTATTTCCCAAAGGCAAGTGGAGGACTGCTATACCTGCTACCACGCTAACCATACTTCCCAAACCCCCGATAAAATTAAAATTTCTCTTTTCCTAGAAGGTAAACCCTGCAGGATGGAGGTAGACACGGGATCTGCGCTCTCAATCATCTCCTGGGACACTCTGAAGAAGATCCAGCCCAGACTGTCAAGGAAACAGCTCCAAAGATGCCACCTGACACTGCGGGACTACCAGGGCAAGAACATTCCTGTCCTCGGGAAAGGCAAGTTCCTCGTTCAATTCCAAGCCTTTAAAGGCCATTTTCCTTTAGTGGTTGTTAACGGTGCCCTCCCCAGCCTGTTGGGACTTGATTGGTTTCCTTCCTTTGGCCTTAGTGTAACTGGGATCCATGCTGTCTCAACTTCTGACGTAGATACATTATTTTCTGAATTTTCTGACGTATTTAGCAGCGAGCTGGGTTGCTATTCGGGCACCCCCTCTCGTTTTCCGTAGATCCCCAGGCAATTCCTCTCCGCCTTAAGCCACGCAGGGTGCCTTTCGCCATCCGTCCTAAATTGGACGCAGAATTAGACAAACTACTTAAACAAGGGGTGTTAGAACCTACTGATTTCGCCAAATGGGAGACCCCCATAGTCACCCCACTCAAGAAGGATGGCAGTTTAAGAATCTGCGCAGACTATAAAACCAAGCTCAACCATTATTTACAGGTCAGCGCATACCCCGTCCCTGTTATCCAGCACCTGTTACACACATTCGAACCCGGCACCATTTTCGCCAAGTTAGATATGTCCCAGGCATACCAACAGTTCCCTGTTGATGATCAGACAGCTGAATTACAAACCATAGTCACACATAGAGGGGCATTCAAATGTAAGCGCCTCCAATTCGGGGTCAGTGTGGCCCCGGGTATTTTTCAATCACTCATGGAACGGATTCTCCAAGGTCTCCCAGGAGTTGTTCCGTATTTCGATGACATCTTAGTCTCTGCTACGAGCCAACCTCAACTCATTCAGAGGGTCAGGACAGTGCTAGAGAAGTTTAGGCAGCATGGCCTCAAACTTAAAAGGGAGAAGTGCGCCATCGCCACTAGGCAGGTGGACTTTCTGGGTTATAGGATAGACGCCTCCGGCATCCACCCAATTGAGTCCAAGGTGAAGGCCATCCACGAGGCACCCACACCAACCAACAAGACTGAACTACAAGCCTTTCTGGGGCTTCTAAACTTTTACGCCTCATTCCTCCCGCACAAAGCATCAGTCGCTGAACCCCTACATAGACTCTTAGATAAAGACTCACCCTGGCATTGGGGGCCCAAGGAAGCCCACGCTTTCAAATCAGTCAAATCATTACTCACATCGGAAGTGGTTTTGGTCCAGTTCGATCAACGCCTTCCTCTGGTCCTGGCTGCTGACGCATCCCCTTTCGGGATTGGGGCTGTCCTAAGCCACAGACTCCCCAACGGCTCCGAGGCACCAATTGCCTTCTTTTCTAGGACCTTCTCCACGGCAGAAAGGAACTACAGCCAAATTGATAAAGAAGCCCTGGCTGCGGTTGCTGCAGTTAAAAAGTTCCACGAATTCTTATTTGGCCACCATTTTGAACTTGTGACTGACCACAAACCTCTCCTAGGACTTTTATCTGGTGATAAGCAAACCCCGCAGGTACTTTCACCCAGAATGACCAGATGGACTTTGTTTCTGGCCGCCTACTCATTCAAGTTGGTGCATCGTCCTGGCAAGAACTTGAGTCATGCCGATGCCCTCAGTCGCTGCCCACTGCCAGTCCCAGTCGAGGACCCTGCACCAATTCACGCCATCTTTGAGGTCAACGAACTCAAACTTCCAGTGACAGCCGAAGACATCGCGGCGCACTCCAAAAAAGACAAAATAATTGCCCAGGTTCTGGACTGGGTGGGAAGGGGGTGGCCGGAAACTCAATGTACAGTTGACTTTGTTCCCTTTAAAACCCGCCAGCAGGAACTGTCGAGGCTGCAGGGATGTCTATTGTGGGGCACAAGAGTAGTTATCCCAGCCACCCTTCGAGTACCCATCCTGAAGGTGCTTCACGAGGGCCATCCGGGCATCGTAAAGATGAAGGTGTTGGCCCGCAGCTACGTTTGGTGGCCCGGCATGGACGCTCAAATCGCCAACTGGGTAAGCTCTTGCCAACCCTGCCAAGAAACCAGGGCTGCCCCGCCCGCCGCCATGCCCACCAGGTGGGAAAGTGCTAGTGCCCCTTGGTCTCGCCTGCACATCGACCTGGCTGGACCAGTGCATGGCAAGACTTTCTTGGTGGTCGTGGATTCCTACTCCAAGTGGATTGACGTGGCCTTGCTTCCCACGACCACCACCCAAGCAG